AGAGCAATTTAAAATTTTATAGAATGCTGGGAAATGCAGAACATTTATCACCCTGGAAAGGCTGTTATGCAGCCACAGCTTTATTAATCAATAACCTTATGTTAGACGTAAGGGAATGATTAGAGAAGATGCAGTTCCATTATTTATGGGGAACTAAGCAACTAATGGACAAAATAGGGGAAGACTGAAATATTCAGTGCTTTGCTTTGTCTCCACAGTTGAAAAAAAAAATCTATCTGTGACCACAAATTATTAACTATGAAAAAAAGAGAAAAGTTAGGGACAGTGAAGAGAGAAAGTAAGTATTAAAATGTATTTATAAGGTTAAAGATATCAAACCAAATTATTAATAATTTCAGGCCCCTAAGTTTGTAAGAAAGAGCTAACACACAATTATCTACACTCACATAATGTCCAATCAATCAGACTTCCTTTCTTGGCAGGCAAACCAGCTTACAGGATAAGAAGAAAGAGTGGAATCAGTATATTATATCTTGATTTTAGAGGAAGTTTTGATAGAGAATTGCATGACTGACAATCCAGGGAAACAAGATTCAGAAGGATTTACACAGGTTATAAAGCTGCATTCAGAGAATTTTCCAGGGTTTCTTCACAAACCAGGAGGCAAGAATGGCTCTATTCCTCTGCTGGTTTCAACAGCAGTGAATGGTAGAGAGAAAACCTGTATAGATGCAAATACTTCACATAGGCTGTGAAAGACAAGATGAAAATTCAGGATGACTTGGGTAAGCATTAGAAGTGGTTTAAAATGGTAAAACAAAATTCAGGGATGAGTAGGACAAACTAGTATGCTTAGGGAGCAAAAATGCGTTCACAAACACATGGCAGAAAGGAGCAGCAGAACTGACAAAGGGGAAATTGCAAAAAGATATTGATGCTATTGTGTTTTATTCTCAGACATCAGGAGGCTTTGTCTGAGGGAACAGGTTCAGCTTGCATCCTACATTTTAAATGAAAATAACTAAAGAAAGTTCAGAGAGGAGCTAAAAAATGCTTAGTTTAGAAAAAATTGTTAAGCCTGTAGCTCTGAAAGAACTTCTTTCTGGAGCTGACAAAAGATTTTTAGTGCTAAGATGTAATTGTATGCTAAGAGTAATGATATATTGATACCAGGAGATCATTACACAAACAAAAGAGCAATGAGAATTTTTAGATTTTTGCTGAGCAAAAGGCAAGCACTAGTTCATTTGTTTCAGAAAGACTCAGTTATATAGCAAGGACTGGCTTTTTTTATTTGCAGTCTTATTTTTTTTACAGAAGTTACAGAATATCCTGTGTTGGAAGGGACCCCAAAGGATCATTAAGTCCAATTCATAGTGAATAGCCTGTATGGGGATTGAATCTACAGCCCTGGCCTTATTAGCATCATGCTCTCAGCAGACCAGAACTGGCTGTGGAGAGGTTGTAGAATTGGTGTTGTTAAGGAATTAAAGAGTCATCTGTCAGGAATGTTCAAATTACTGTTAGTTCTGCATCAGTGTAAGGGACAGACTGGAGACAGGCATGCCTAAAGTGTGATGAACACCTCAATCATCTGGATGTGTCTCTTCACAGAAAGTAGGGGGGGCAGTATTATGCAGTGCACAGATTCCAATTTAGCTCTTCCAGTGTTAAGTGGGGAGATATTTTTAGGCATTTGACTCTAGCTTATCATCAAGATCTTTGTGTTGTTATTGCTCTCTTATCCGGTTTACCATATTCCCCATTTCACATTTGTGAGGATCATTTGGCCCAGCCCCATCAGCCTTTGTGCAGAGCTGCTATGGGCATGGTGCTGACTGCCTTTTTCTATAAAGCAAAGGCAGCTGCAGGAGGGCTTGCTTTTATTCCACTCTGCCTTTATCTGCAATATCTTGCTCTCAGATGTATCACCAGGGAAACTATTCCAGGTCAAAAGTAAGAGGTTTTTATTCTTGGTGTTATTTAGGAATTTTTGCTATTTACTTGTTGCATGTTCCAACAACCTTCATTTTTGGGCAGCATAGAGAAGGATCCTTGTATGTGTGAGTTTCTGACGTAAGCACACTGCCAAGAGTGAAGCACAAAATCCTACTCTTTACTTGTCAGCTTAAGTAAAGCTAAAGCCTTTACAAGAGCTTTTCTTACCGAAGACTTCACCTGACTGTATAGGAAGATATCAGTACATTTTGAGTATCAGTAGGATGTCAAAATGTTCTGTCCTTGATGGTTCCCAGGGCAGCCTTGGGTTAACACAGTGTTTTGAGGGTGTGAGAAAGGAAGCAGAGTAACGAAGTGCAATGAAGGATCCTCTGGTTGATTATTCACCACTTTGTTATCCGGATATGGATGCTCCGGTGCTTTGAACCCTCCTTTCTGCGCTCCCTTGGGAGTCCCTCTGAGAGCTGCAGTGCTCCCGGGGAGTCCCGGCTTCCACCTCTAATGCTGACATTCCTCCAGGCTCAGGAAACCTGCAGGATGCCTGAGCAAACCAGTTTTGCACGATATTTCTGGGCTATTTTTACTCAGAGGGGGGTCCAGAGAGATCCCAGCCCACCTCCAGCACCCCGGGGCCTCCCGCAGCCGGGAGGGCTCGTTCACACCTGGGCACCAGAGGGCAAATGTGGCACCTCTTCAGTCCTCTCTGGTGTGGAGGACCCCTGCCAGGTGACTTCTGACCAAAATCTGACCAAAATCAGAGAGCACTTCTCTTTGCTCTCTGAAGTAGAGGCTGGTTTATTTCAGATGGTGATTACATTTCAGTGGGAGAGCACTTAAGCTAATTGCTCGGCATTGTTAGTTCTGTGCCAACATTCCTCTGAAGCTTCAGTTCAAAGGCCTGTGTTGCAATCAAAATACTTTGCTGTTTGACATAGATATACCCGGAGTTCATCAGCTGAAAGAGAATGACTGCATTGTGTAGAGAGTGTGAACAGATATTGTCAAGGGAGAAGGTAACCAAGAGTGAAATCTGAGGGTGAGATTTCCTGTCTAGGTTGCTGAGGATGAGTTACCAGCTGGTGCTGTACCAAAATGGCATCCGAAAGCTGCCTTCTTCATCAGCAAAATTTACGTTATTGCTCAATTTCACATCTTGATAAAAGCAGTGGAAATACTTATATGCAGTTCACTTATTCAGCTTGATAAACCATTCAGAAGCAGTGAGGCTGTTTCATTTGATAGAATTCCCACTGTACTATAAAAAGCAAAATATCTGCAAAACCAGGTCATTTTGCTATTTACAACACATGCTGTGGCTTTTTGCTGTGAAATATTTTGACACCTATCAACAAAGGTTAGCACAGACAATTTCTTGGGAAAATGTGTGAAGAGTATGAAATTCACAGACCACATACAGAAGGGAATATGGGTGGAATAGTGGCTTTCTGGAGAGCCCATAGTCCATGAATCTTTGTAGAGAAAACAATGAGAAAATAGTTAAAAGTGTTTCTGATTTCCCCTCCTCTAGTAAAATACATTTACTTATTGTGGTGGATTTTTTTTTTTTTCTAGGTTTCTTGTGGACCATGCCTTGTAAGTGTATTTGGTCAGTTCTGTACATGTGCATTTAAACACAGATGTTTCAGCATATAGCACATCTTTGGTTAGTGACTTCCTCTTCCACCCAGGTAAAATCTGAAGTGCTTTCCAAACTTTAAAATGGACTGGGGAGCCTTTTTGCTAGCATGTGTAATTGCTTTGCCCATTTTTACATGGAAGCTGTTTAGAATGCAGCTATGCTGCACAGTAGTTTGGAACACTAGAGCCAAATGAAATTATGGTGGGAGTTTTCAGCAGACAGGCTGTAATTATTCAGTTTGGAATTTGACCAGAGTGAAATAGAAGCTTGCCTACCAATAAACATACTTGAAGTACCATGTTTTTGAAGTTTTTAAACAAAGAAGCTTCCTTGAATGATGTAAGTACAAGATGGGAGTCAGAAAATCTGTGCTGCTGTGGCACACATTTAGGACCTATACTGGGAATTATTTAAGCTCAACAGTAGAGTGGGGCCTTACCACCACTTGTTCTCTTCATTTGTACCCTGTATTACCTTGGAAATGATGATGAGGTTGGCAGGAGTATCTTTTAGCTTTTTTTGTTTGGTGCTTACTGGATTTTCACCTGTGACTCCAGAGTGGCCTTGCTTCTACTAATTCATTACTGTGGCAAGGACAATTGTGTGAGTGTTTGGAGTGACTCCGCCCTGTGGAATTGTCTATAATTTCAGCAATTATTTCATTTTCAAAGTAGGATTGACATTACTTTTTTATTTCAACAGAGTATTTTCCCATGGCAGTTTAGTCTATGGTGCCTGTGAGCTGCTCTGTGTAGACAAGCTCCTGGCTTAGTATTTTCCCATTGTCCCACAGATCTGCTTGTAAACCTCTAGGAAGAATAAACTATGTAAGGCAGCTAACTGTGGAGCAGCAATCCAAAGAAATGTTTCAACTTTGAAAAACACATCTGAAAGTGAGGTTTTGCTTTCCTGTTGAAGTTTTGCCCATAATTTTTGCACCAGTAAGCTTCACACGATTTTTAAAGCATTCAAATTCTGGTTTTCATTAATTTGTCCATTAGTTTTGGCTTATGCAAGAGAGGGAGAGAGCTTTAGCAATGCACAAGATGAACCAATGTACATGCATATACTTGTAGTGAGGCAGGGCATAGGTGACAAAAGATTGATTTGGTCAGAGCTGACCTTAATTATTGGCCTGCTGCAAGGCATATTCTAGGGCTAACTTTGCCATAAGTGTCATGGCATGTGAAAATGGCAATATGGGATGGATGAAGTGACATCATGATATGCAGATATGGATAACTAATGGGAAGATATGAAAGAGTGAAGAATGTAGAGAGGCAAACCCTGTAGCCACTCAGGCTCAGCTTCTGGATATGCTTCAAAAAACCTCTGGAACTCAGTAAATGTGAAACACTTGAAACTATACTCAGCATAATTAAAGTTTTGTGACAAAAATCAAATGCTTTTCTAAATTATTGGTATTTATTGCAAATCTTACCATGTTAGAAGGCTTGGGTATTCAATGATATTGTGTTCAGTCACGAATCTCTCAGGAGACAGGCTCAGGAGGTCCCAGGACACAGGCAACAGCTCTCTATCCATGGGTTGTGCTGCAGTCAGGCTTAGCAAAGGAGCTCCCTCTGATGCTACCTTCACTGTGATGGGAGTCTTTTGAATTATCTAAAGAAAAGCATAAATGCTAGCCATGGAGTTTATGTAAATGAGTCAAAACCAATTTTGACAAGATGGAGCAGAGTTACAACTTTTGTGAAGTAGAACAAGTTTGTGATGTTGGAGCCACACAGCTAAAAAACACACTTGAATTCTTGTAGTCACCCTGAGAACATACCATACATACTTTCACACAAGCAAAAAAACTATACATATAACCTTTCCCCCTCAAATTTCTTCTTTTTTTTGTTACTATTTCACAAACTAGCTCTGTTCTCATTAAGGGCAAAATATGTTATGAATTTATCACTCAGCTCAGCACATGGTCATCCTTGTGTTGCTTTCAACTTATTACTTCTGCTTTTTTTATTTTAATGGGATGTTGTGTAAGGTTGGATTCTGGTCTTTGTTACTGTGGTAGGTCTCCACAGGCTTGCCACTGGCTGCAACTTGCCTTCACAGATAATCAGGCAGCATTGTGCTTCTAAATTTTAACTTTGACCACCCGGATTCAGATGTCTGATTCTATCAGTAAGAGAAACTACATAGTTCACATTTGCTGTCCAAGTGATAATAACAGTAGCTCTCCAAAGTATTGGCTTTGGAGGGAAGACTGGGCTTCACACAGCTGAGCACTGATTTACATTGCCACATATCCCACTATCCTCTGGGACTGCATAACAGAGGCTAGCCATCCTGTCTGGTTTTAAAGCTTTTCAAGATCTGTGTTGCTGGTATTAATTCTGTTTATATTTACAGCGCAACTGAGCCTTCTGTTTGGTTAAAGCAGTAAGAAAGCAATAGTCTAATCTGTTAAAAGGAACACACAGTACAAAGAGCTCAGCTGCTGCTTGAAACATTCCAATCATCAGAAGTGCTGCTAATTTAGGTAGACAATAAATACATTAATTGAGAATATTTATTAAGGCTTGTTTGTGCAGATGGACAAAGACAATAAGAGAATGGTATTTCCTTACTGCATTAGGAGCTGGTGTTTATCACATGCTAGTTTGGCAGGTATTTACAATGTTTCCTTTCAGCATCTACATTTAGATCTCTAAGATCCAAATGTAAAGGCCCAGACCTGACTTAAGCATTTAACTAAGCTGGGTTAAATGTTAAATCAGAGCTGTCTTTGCTCAATTAAGCAATCAAAGTGAGAGTGGGGAATAGAGGGGGAGAGAGGGGGAGGGAAAGAGAAAGGAGAGGAGAGAAAAGGAGAAAGGAAAAAGGAAAGGAAAGGAGTTGTAGGAGAAACACTTTTGAGAAAATGCTTTTGAAACCCTGCAATCCAAGTTGACTTCTAGAGAAGAGATGCCTAATTCTCTACTGATCAGGGAGATTTAGTTAAGTGCCTAAAGTCACATGGAACATATTTACATCACCTGTTAGAGTAGCCCTCTCTGTCTACTTACTATGCATGTAAAATGGTCTCCTAACTTAGTTGTTTAAAATCTGACGATTAAAGTAAGTTGCATGAATAGTCCTCTGCAGACCAGAACTGGTAAGAGGGAAATTGTTTTGAGAGTTATCCTTACCTCTAGGTTCTTTGGCCAAGGAGAAATAAAATGTAGTAGATTTTGGACCTGGTCCCAATCCTGTTCCTTCATTGAAAGGACCTTCATATGACTTGGGAGAGGTATTTATGAGAAAAACACTCTTAAACCACATGTGTGTGACTCAGGTTTGTCTTCTTAGAGAGGCTTTCCCACTGACCCAGTACAACCAGAGGAATGTGCAGAGAGATAGGAAACACATTTTCTTCTACTTCACAGTTACCAACCCCTTCAGGGACAAGAAGTTTAAGGAAGTTTTGTATGTCTGATCATCTTGCCATTAATTTATTTCCAAAATGGTGTATCTCATTGCAAAATATTGCTTGGAACAATAAAAGCTGAATCAGGCCACGGGACCCTCAGTGCTATGTTATTCCTAGCATATCAAATGCTCTTTTATAGGGGTTGGATGGCAAGGGAACTTTCAGTGCTGTGGGGTTTAAAATCCAACCATGTTTAAATAATTTTGTGATTTCATTATGGCTTTTTGTAGATACATTGAGTGTGACTATAGTGGTTCTATCTATAATAGTTCTATCCTTCCATCACGATATTATTTTTGGACAAATCATCTGTATTCTGCTTGTGATTTTTCTTTTTCCCTACAGGAAAATCTGTTGTTGTCCAGTATTCCCATTCTTCATTAACCACCCTCATAATAGCTCTATCAAGCAGCTGTACAACATGGTATATCTCCCACTCTGACCTCTGTTTTGGAAGGCTGCAGGTACTCATAACATGTACACAATATATACACACTGTCCTGCCATTAAATACAATTTCATTCTTTCTTTCTCACATGGGTTTTCTAAATAAAAACTCACTTTCACTTAACCTGGAGAAAGGTCATGAAGAGATGATTTATAACATAATTTACAAATGTTTATTAAATTTTGCTTTTAGTACTCAGGGGAAGGGTGCTAATTTACTGGACTCTAGTTGATGGTCTACAGATTTGGTCTGCAGTGTGCTTCCATCTGAGTAGAGAAGATGGAGATGAGCTCTTTTTCTTAATGCCAAATTGAATGTCTTGAGTCCTCCGCCCTTTTTTCTCAGATTTGGAAAAAAACTTACCCTATAGCGCACAGGTTTCACTCAAGTTATTAATAATTGTCCTAAGGATAAAATAAGCTACAAACCCCTAAACCTTAAAAAGTCTGGGCAAATAATTTTGCTCTCTTCCTCATTTAAGTTGAAGGAAATAGAAATGAAAGTCAGGATTATGCAGAAACTGAGTGCAGTGAATGTTCAAAAGGAAAATGGATTAGGCTCAGATTTTGTTTTGACAGTATTTTCAGTAAAATTTTGGTTTAATGTGCATTGCAAGAACTTTGACTTTCTGTTCCTTGTGCTGTCTTAACACAGCGTCAAAGAAAGCAATCACATACAAAGTTCCCTCGTGAACAAAGACTGGTATAAAATGCAGAAGTCATAATTTGTTCAAGAGACAGTTAATTCAGAAATGCTTTCTAGTATTTTTACTTCTCTTTTGTCTTGGTGGTTAGTAACATGTCAGAAATGGAGGAGGAATCATTGTGCAACTATGTGCTGAAAAGAAACAACAACCAGTGCAGTTCAAGGCAAACTACATTCAATGCCATGCAGGCCGATGCATCTTTAGCCTCCCTTACTGTTCCTGACATTTTTCACAATCATATTAAAACCTGCTAGATCAAGAGTGCACACTTATCTGCAGCCAAATTTCTCTAAATCACTTTACAAATCTGTTACTACTAGACACATATTTTTTTTTCCCAGTAGTAATTTTCTGGATATCATTTCAATGCATCCTTTGTCCCAATTAATAAAAGCCTTGCAAGGGTATGTCGATCTCAATGTGTTAATGTTTAGTGAAAGAAACAGGTCTGGTTGTTCTAAAAATTAAGCCTTTTTTTATCTCTGAGGAACAAAAGCAGAAAATGTGAGTGTTTCGACATACCAAACTACACAGACTCTGACCTAAAAGGAAGTTCAGACTCATTCCCCCATAAGGCTTTTTGGACTGATTTCCAGCTGGCAAATATGGGGAGGGCTTTTTTTAATGTGGACAGCTGTCAAGAGAAAATGAGACTATTCCTTTACTTCACATAAGCTGCTACTCAGAACCTCCTCAAATACATGCATTAAATAATGAACATATGAATGAGCAGGAACAGAGTAGATGCCCTAGCATGTACTACAAAACCACATCAGAGATAAAAATGAGGTATCAACAGCAAGCAACTGTCAGGTATGCACCAATTTAAAAAAAAAAAAAAGTTAAGGGAAGGTTATCATACATTTATCCATAGAATAATAGAATCATAAAATAGAAGAGACCTTTAAGATCATTTAGTTCCAATCCCCCTGTCATAAGACACCTTCCACTAGACCAGGTTGCCCAAAGCTTCATCCAGCCTGGCCTTGAACCTGTTGTTAAACCATACTATCTTTTACACTGTGACTTCTTTTTGAATAATATGAATAATGTTCTTGGTCTTTGACTTTCCTTGCACTAAAGGGATTTGTGGTTACAGTACAGAGGAATCAAAAGTATATCTACTAGACAAGTAGTTGAAGGAATGGATCAGATCTGAACAACCTAGAGATCCTATAATTTTTTTTCCACTCAAGATCTCATAGAATTTCATACCCTTATCAAGACTCTGCTTATATATTCCCAAGAATAGTGATCTGAAACTGGAATTATGCTTAAACCAAAACACCAGTGAGAGAATTGTCATTAAAATTACTTGTCATCATTGGTATTATTTCTTAGGCGAACACTACAGTGCCAATCCACCCCCCAGAGAAAGAGTGCTGCTTATTACAGAAAGACAGGAGGCTAACTGTGCTTTATGACTCTTTCTGTTGAGTGTGTAGTGTTTGATGTACTGGTTACTTGTCGTTTGTGTCACCTACATTGGATGGTACACACAGTACATGCAGGCACCATGCTCTAGGCAGCACTCTGTACAAACATTGAATGGTCATAACCAAGTCATGCCCAGCCTTCTCTTCAATGCCAGAGTGTGGAGTTTTCCCAGAGGGCACATTCTTTGACAAAGAACTCCCCATGCTGATCACCCGCAACAGTGGGAGGGAAACTTTGTAAGAAAGGCTGTGTAAGAAACTTTGTAAGAAAGAGCAAGCCAACAGCACTCACAGGCTGGTAATCTGGAGAGGCGTGTGGATACCTTGAACCAGCTGGAAATGTGCTGCCTTTCACTGGTTAGTATGGATACCTGCTCACCTCTTCAGTCTCTCCAGCCTTTCCCTGGACTGTACCATTTCAGATGTTCCTTTTAGGTCTCTGATTTGTCATCATGCTTTTTCTAGTTAATGTGCTCTTAGTTTTATCGCTTCCTTGCTCAAGCTGAAAAAAACAAACCATAGAGATACAAAGAAATTAACAATTATAGCTTCTTATTTTTTATTTGTTTGTGTTTCTGTAATCTTTATTTATCTCT